TAAGTGTATCAGAACCACGTGAAGGCTTGGCTCCATCCCCAGGGTGGCTGCTTCAGACGCTCCGAGGTGGAGCCTGAGAATTTGTGTTCCTACAAGCTCCCAGGTGATTCTGTGGCTGCCAGCGGTGGCCCACACTCTGATAACCTCTCGCCGAAATAACAAGGCACAAGGGAAAGAGGCCAGGTGAAAAATCCAGGTCCGTCTGATTCTACGATGCAAACAGAAGGCACGCTGAGAAGGTACTTGCTGTCCTCTTAAGATTTCCCCGCTGCAGAGAGGGAAGAGGAAAGGAGGCTCTGTGGTAGCTGCGTGTTATGTGAACGAGGAATGGATCTGAGCTGAAACCCTCAGTCTGAGTTCCCTCGTCCGCCAGGAACCAGCACAGCACGTAACTGACCAGGTCCTTAGTGTTTCCATCACTGTAGTAAGAGCTCTACTACTGTTACTTCCAGTACTCTCAGAGGTGTTTTGTTTTTTTGTTTTTTGAAGATAAACTGTGATCATTGCTGTAAAAGAATTTTCTAAGCTTTGAAGTGCTACCACAAAGGATGTTAAGTTATTTTCAATAGGAATCAAATCAGAAAAAAAAAGAGTAAAGACAAAACAAGAAAAACAGAAGCATGCGAGTGAATGATCTGGTCTTCAGTTTAAAAGCTGAGACTACGAAAAGGAAATGCCAAGCACAACAAAGAAGTTTATTAGAACCTTCATGAGTTTGGGGAGCTTTAAGATGAATGCACTGACAGTCGAAGGTAGGGCAACTGCCAAATTTTTTCCAGTTTTTTTTTCAACTTAAAAAAATAAACATCCTATTTCTTCAAAAGACAATCTGATGATGAACCTTGGAAAATGATTAATAAACAATTTTGATATAATTATTTTTTGAATAGTAAAAATGTACCTGAACAGCTATTTTTTCAGAAGTATAGTTTTCTTTCTTTCAGAGAATACTGAACATATTTTACTATTAAAAATACAGTTTTATTGTGCTGATCACTGGCTTTGTCTGATGCTCTTCCTGAAAATAAAACTTTTAATTCATTTCTAATAAATGGCTGAACCGAGAAATACAGGATTTGCTATGCCATAAATGGCTAACACAGGTAACTTTATATCACTGTTACTCTTAATTAATTAATTTTAATGCAAGAGTGAAAACTAAGACAGCTTCTGCTTTCTCCACGAAAACTCTCATTGTAAATATGTGAACATTCAGAGCAGTAACTTCTAATAAATGAAGTCAATATTCACTGGCACAAAGAAAGGGGTCTATTTCATGTTGGATTAATTAAAGAGAGACTTCACACTCTGAACTGAGAAATCTCTCAAGGCCCACTGGGCTCTACTTTTATCTGTATTTTATCCCTCAAACAAATGGCTTGTTTGGTATTAGTTTAATATTTGGTACAAAAGCTGCCAGACTTCCATATGTCATTAGGACCACAGACCGCAATTGTGCTTTTCCCCATCGATGAAATATTACTTTCCTTAGACTGGATATTATACTTGCTCAATGAAATGAAATCCTTTTTGATTTATGGTGTTAAAAATTCTGTTTGTGTTCATTAACTTTTGATGAAAATGACAGTTTTTTTGTGCTCAGGCAGCTGGGGTTCTACCCACTAATAGAGTACAGGTATCTTCTTTTCTGTTTCTGATTTGCTTGTTTTTATTCTTTAAATGCCTTTGATAGAGAAAAGTACAATTTAACGCTTGGTGTACAAAACAGAATACTTCAAAGAAACCAATAATCAGGGTTCAGGGGTAGGGGTTGATTCTATCTTATCGATCCGATGCCGGAACATTTGTCAGGCTCTCACGTGGAGTTGTGTGCAAAGGTTTCTTGAATGTGAGATGTGTAATCCAAATTACATGTTAGTATCATTTAGCTTTTCTCATCATCACCCAGATATGAATTTAGAGAGGAACTGAGGTTCTTCAGAGGGCACAGATTAGTGGTTTAGGACACATACTATATAGAGAAAGGCCGCCTGGCCCAAAATCAGCTATGCCATTTACGAGCTGTGTGACCTTGGGAACATTTCATGGCCTCTCTGTGCCCCTGTCTCCTTATCGGTAAAAATGAAGTTCCTCATAAGGATGGAAGGATTAATACTTGGTAAAGCACTTAAAATGATGTACAGCATGTAATTAGCACCCTCTGTTTGTTAAATCAAAATCAATGAGTAAATTGAAAATATTATTTCTGCTGTGAAGTGACACAGGCTCCTCTGATGTTGGCAGGTATGACAGAAGTTTTTCCAGATAGCCTTGTATCAGGCATGGACGATGTAGCAGAAATATCTTCTTTTCATGACTTTGGTTAACAGAACATTTGGGGATGTGGACACAAAGCCTTCAAAGAACAGATGAGGCCACCCATCACTGTGACACTACCTTGGTGTTAAGCGAAAATATGAAGTCTTTGAAATATACCAAATCTGCCCTACGAGACAGCATCATAGGAAGAGAAACTGAGGCAGAAGATTAAGGTGAAAGAGCCAGTCAAACATAGTCTAATAAAGAGGTGGTAGAGAAAAATCTGTAAGAGATGGTGATGATAAACAGGTTGTTTTCACAGCACAGTCCTGGCACGGTATCTTGAGGCCCCTTCCTATCTTCAATACTTTTTTCCTTTATTATTAACAGTCAAGGGATTTTGTGACTTGTCAATAAACATCTTGGTGTGTATCTATTTTTTCATTTCCCTCAAGTTAGAAGAGAGGTAAATTATACTCAAGCAAGATAAACATCGTCTCTGTGGAAACACGGTTGGTGATTTAAATAAGCAGGCATAATTCCGTGGATGGAAAGACCTGGGTTAGTGTAGCGATCCGGTTGCTATCCATTCAGCACCACCACTCTCCCAAGTGAAATAAAAAAGACGAGGGAATCTCAGGGAATACGAAATCATTAAAATACCCAGAACAAATACACGTTGTAGTTTTCATCTTTTTTAAAATGGAGGTAATCTGATGTCAAGTAGCCAAAAATGAGACTCTGAGAAATCATTAAAAATGTCCCACTTCCAAAGCTTGTTCCTGGCTATTTTTCTCGCTTTGTGTATGTGTTCTATTATACAAGGAGTTCTATTACAACACAGATCAGAGTGAATTAAGACTCTCTCCCACCATACGGTTAGCTACTTGAAGGTAGGAATTATGTTTCAATCACTTGCTTTATATCCTGAATGGCAGGTGTCAGAGGTGCTAGATTTGGCTTGCATTCATTTAGCTAAACTGGGGCTACATGTTCCAGAATTCCATGTCCTTCACGGTCCCCGGATAGCCTGGGCTGTGGGAGGCATTCGGCATGACATTCGTCAGGCAAAGGAAACCAACAGCCACATCCTCTTTGCATCAGACGGTCAGCGGAGGGCATGAGGCACTGTGGAAATTCACAGACGTTGTCACCGATCTGCTGGCTTGTGTTTTTGGCACAGGGCAGCAGGTAAGCCCATGGTTCCCGCTGGGTCTCCTCCTTCAACTTCTGTGACTCCTGGGTTACATGGGGGAGGGCACCAGCTTCCCCTGCCGGACACCCCATTATCTCATTGGAGGCGCAAAGGCCGTGAGAGACCGATGTGGGCTCCATTTGATCCCGGTGGCTTCCAGCTCATCTTCGCTCGTTCTCATTTGTGATCCGCCTCTAACTTCATATCCAGCCATCCTGCCCGCTGACTGCCTCGCAGCTTCAGGGCCCAGCACCAGGTAGTGACCCATGAAGTAAGGTCAAATCTTACAGTAAGTCCTGTATATACACAGACATACACCTGATGGGCCTGGTTATCAGGGTTTGATTAGAAAAGCAGAACTACCAGAGGAATGAATAGATATGTATTTATATTGACACCGACATCCATATACACATGCACTTCATATATCTACCATTATTAAGTGTTTGTTGAAGGAATGTATAAATGAATGATGGGAATGTTTTTATTGTATAGGTGAGGAAACTGACAATAGAGAACTACTTACTGTCAAATTTATTTTCTAGTTTTTAGAAATATATAGATATAATAAATAAATATGTAGATAAAATAAATAATATATTTAGATAAAATAAATAAATTAAAAAAATAAATGCATCGTAAGAGTGAGCCTGAAGACTTCTGACTTGGAGCCCAACGTTCTTTCTACCACCATGATGCCCCTTTTAGTCTATCTACTCGTCCCTCGGTGTCTAGGGGAACTGAGTCTTTGCAGGTGAATTCCTAATGCCATCTCAAAGAGTCCTCCATAAAACAGAAAAACATCACTAATTAGTTTCTCCTATCTCTCCTCTGTTCTCTCGATTTTCTATTAAATCATCCTCCTTTCCCAGAATCAGTTGCAGAATGGGGAACTAGGTCAGTCTTAGAACGATGGTTGCAAGTGATTTGGGAAAGAAGGGTAAACCCTACAAATGTCCTTCACATGGAAGCTACTACCTGGTCATCCCACTTCTTTATTCCATGCATTACCCCTTGCCTCCATCCTCACACCAAGAACCCTGCACTCCAGCCACACAGAACTTCTCATTTCCCCAGATATGTTAGGTTCTTTGTAGATCAGGCAGACATCTCTTTTTGCTTCAAGTTGAAACACAAGTATTACTCCCAGTGTAAAGACTCCTTCAATTTCCCAGCAAAGTGGGTTTTCCTGCCCACGTCCTCCTTTGCTAGGCTTTGTCCTTCCCGATGTCAAGGAGCTGATGGATTTATCTTTATATAGCCTCTGCTTAAATGCAATGAGTCTTGTTTGCCTACTTAAAGAACAGAGGTGCCCTTTGTTCAATCCATGAAAAAGCGTAAAAGTTAACATTCAGTCTCCTAAGTGGCAAGGTGGTCACCGAATGCTGCTAGTTTGATGCCTAAAATAACCAGGTCGACAATACGGTTACCATGGTATTACTTTGTGCATAATGAATACAGTCACCCTTTCCCCCACACAAAAAGAAGCATGGTGACCCGGGAAAGCAAAGGTCTGAGGACACAGTTGTGGATTTCACCTGCTCACCTCCCGGCTCCGCTTCCTCCGTGCTCCCGTGCTTCTGTCACACAAGCTGCTCCAACAGACTACAACCAAAGTTCACGCACGCCTGGAGAAACAGGGTCCACTCTTCACGCCAGCTAAGAACAGAAATGAGCTGACACCAGTGTCCGGGAAAAGCGCCCCCCAAATCTGCCTACAGCAATGTGAGGCACAGACACGGTCCTGATCCCCACTGTGAGCGTGAAAGCAAAGTATATTTCGTCTCTGTTTGGTTTTCTTTGGGTCTGCTTGTTTATGATTTTTGCTCCGTTCTGTTCTGTTTCTCTGAATGTTTCTTTAGCTTTTGAACTCCTGGTGTGAATGGTGTAATCTTATCTCCAGCTCCATACTGTTTTCCAGTACAGTTAAATAAAAATTTAGTCATAAGGAAATGAAACCGCCTTCTATTCCCACAAAGCCTAAACTTAAATATGTGTAACTCACAAGTCTTAGATAATTTGCTCAAATTAGCCACATGACTTTCTCCTTGCGTGTTCTCTCACCACCCACAAGTTGACTCGATTCTGACCTAAACAAAAGGAGCGGGCTTCTGGGTGTGACAATCCCGGTGCATGGCTCATAGCCTCAGATACTCTGGCACCTTCTCAAATTTTAGTCGCAAATTCGGGGAAGGATTTTATTGTGCCATCTATAAATAGAACTCAACAGTACATTTTGAGAATGCTGAAAGCTCGGTTAATAACCTCCCAGTTCATCAGGATGGATAACGCGTCTTTCAGGTAAGTGCACCTGGGGAGGGTTATTAACTCTTGTTCAGCAGACTCCGTGCCGTGGCTTCTACGTAGGAGAACCTTGACTTAGAGATCTACTGAACGACTTTCTCGGTCCAGCCATTACACCAGGCGCCTTGTTTTGTGAAGGTACTTTGGATTATTTTCCCAAAGGGGAGACAGAATGTCCTGAATCACTGCTGTTTGGAACAGTCTCACGTGAGATGAGAAAAGTACATAGTTGTGAGAAGACTGGTGGAGTCTGTGGGTGAGTAGATATTTGAGTGGGTGGGAGATGAGGTGGGTAGAGCTCATTAACCAATCAAGTACTAACCTAACCCAAGTATTTGGCCTCCCCCAAATCATCCCTTAATAATGCTTCTCAAACTTTTGCATTAAAAAATCCTGAAAAAACAGAAAAGAAATGAGTACATTATATACACCACCCCCTACATCTCTACCCCAAATCCTAGGGGATCTGAAGATATTACACAAAGAACTTGGCCCAAGCTCGAAGTATTCCAGTCTTATGATTTTTCTTTAAAATATACGCTGCGTTACAAATTATTTAACCTGCTTATCGGCTAAATTAATTTATCCACTCTCCATCCAAATTTTTGGTTTAATGCTTCAAAAAGGTATACCAGGTTAATCTTGTGGCTTCTCACAGCTCCTGGCATGTTGCTACTACTATGAACACTGGTAGGACTCATACATATGAAATATAAGCTACACAAAAATCTAGGAGAGAGTATGTAATTGCTGAAACATATGGTATAGAAAGTGAAATTAATAGAAAAAAAGACAATGCTATTAGAAGGCTGGACTGTGGTGTCTTTTAAAATAGCTTTTTCTTTGTTTCAATTAAAAGAAATCATTTACTCTTTCTCCAGATTGCATTGTTTAAAAATTGTAGCACTGAAAATGCTGTGTTAAATGACTGGATGCTTCTATACAAAAATGAGGGTACTTTAAGGCATGTATATTTTACAGAATTTGAAATACATATAACAAGTAAGATATAGTTAATTTGTTTTACAGAAACTGAAGCTTCAAACTTAGAATGTTTATTAACTGCACAACAAAATATAGGCATAGAGAAGATGCCCTATGTTCCTGGGATGGATGGTTTCATGCTATCAGTTTGGCCAGGCTATGGTGCCCAGTTGTTTGGTCAAAGACCAATCAGGGTGTTATTGTGAAGATGTCTGTCAGATGGGATTAAAGTTTGCAGTCAGTAGACTAAGTAAAGCAGATGACCTCACCAGAGTGTGGGTGGGCCTCATCCAAACAGTTGAAGGTATTAAGAGTAAAGACTGAGGATTCCCAAAGCAGCAGCAATTCTGCCTCAAGGCTGCAACACAGAGATTCTACCTGAGTTTCCTGCCTGCTGGCCTAACCTGAAAATTCTGGACTCAAGACTGCAATGTCAGCTTTTCCAGATTGCCAGCCTATCCTACAGACTTCAGGCTTGCCGGCCCTCACATTCACATGACTCATTCCTTATATT